AAACTAAGAAATACAGTGTGAACCAACAAGTTTGCAATGGTTTTTATGCTAGGAAAAGGCTAGAAAAGGCACTAAGGAACAGAGCAAGTTGAAAGTGTAAGGCAATTAAAAGAAAGAATTCATTTTGATAGGTGTGTGAGCAGAGAGAGGCAGAGATACACAAAAGAGAAAGCATGTGGCCTGAGCGGGACAAACCAAGTCCCTGGTCCATTAAGGCTGTCTTGGTTCCTTATATTGATAGTTTTCCAGTTTCAGAGCCAGTTCATGTGTGTTCTTACAATAAACTTCATTTTCTTGAGCTAAGTTGAATGTTCTCTTGTCCTTAAGTGTTCTCTTGTCAAGAAAAGTTACGCAGAGCCTCTCTTAAAGCCTCTGCTAACCTGAGAGTCTGTGGTTCTACAAACTGAGTTTAAGGGTTTACTTCCATGATATGACTCCCTCCACTGTGGATAGATAACAGATGTCTTAGGAGTCAACCTTTAAGACTACTTTCCTTTTACTTCTGCAACAAAGGTAGGCAGATAATTTAAAAGGAATAAACATGCAAGCATTTTAAAATCTAATTTTATCACATTATCATATTCTCAATGAGAAAAAAAAAAAGCCTGTAAGCGAAGCGACTTGCTTTCTTGTATACATCTGTCAGCCCTAATCAGACAAACTCCACTTAAGTGATAGGAAACTATTCAGATGTTGTCATAATTCTTGTGAACCTGGAGAAAATTTAACTTGTTGATGAAGTACTTACCATTACAAATGAATGCAAAACTGTCTATCAGTTCTGGCATGATTATTTTGGAAACGTACGTTTTTAGGTTGCTGTGATAATGAGTGACCTTTGTGATATTGAAGGCTGACTTCTTGCATCAGCGTTTTTGAGTAGTTGCTATGTGAGCTCCAAGGAGAAGAAAAGAAAGATGTATATTATAATTCTTCATAAAATCACTGATTTGTATTTTTTAAGCAACTGAAACGAGATGACAAAGAACTTCAGGCTGTAGCTGCCCTGGGGAAGGGAGTTGAGGAAGTGTAAAGAAAATTTGTTATTGGGGAAAGCTGCCAACTATGATGGCGCCTCCCTGGCACCAGCCAAACAATCTGAAACCTGTCTCTGAACAGTCACATAGATTGGGGGACACACAGGGACAAAACAGCTGGGTAATTGACTGAACTTTCCACTTTGCAGCCAAGTATTTTGGCGTCATGGAGATTAAGACTTGACTGATCTCACTGGAAAATTGTTCAAGCTTTCGCTATACTCTGTCTTCGTAGACACTAGTTTAGCATTCCCAGGGAAAATAATCCACACCTGCTTAGTCATTTCAAAAACAATAGATACATGGCATTTATTACAAATTGGTGAAACAAGCAATTGTCCACCCCCTCCCCTCCACACACACACATTTTTGCTAGCATTTCAAAGGTTTCCTTGGTTGGAAAACGAAATCTTAGCAATTTCTAATAACGAAGACAAATTAACAAGAAAAACTGTCAGAGAGCATGAGCAAGTTTTATTGTTTTCTTTCTAAACTTATCTTTAAGTAAAGTACAGTACAATTCACTCTTTGTGGCATACCGTTTTATGCGTTTTGGTAACTGCACAGTATTGAATATTCGTCACCACTATCTATAGGGAAGAAGTCTGTCATCCCCCAAGTTCCCTTTGTAGTCAGCCCTTCCTTCCACCTCCGCCCTTGGCAACCACTGATCTGTCCTCTGTTACCATAATTCTGCCTTTTCCAGAATGTTATATAAATGGAATCATACAGTGTATCGCCTTTTAGTTCACTCATTATTTATTTAATTTATTATCCTACTTGTGCTAAAGTTTTCACGGATCTGATGTTCTGTGCAGAGAGAAGAAAAGTAAGGAAAATATTTGGGGCTGAGGCAGCTTAGAAGACAAGAACGAGGAAGTGGGAAGCTGCTGTGCTCATCCACAGAATTATTTTCATCTGTGCAAAGAATGTACCTTAAAGGTGGTGAGAAGGGATCTCAGAGATTTACATACACCAATTTAGCTTCTGTATAACATTCAAAGAAGAATCCCTGCGTCTAGCCTTTGACTATCTTACCCAATGTTGAGATCTGACCCAGGGCTGGGTAATTAACATGAGTAATTAGCCTCTGTTTAGTTATGAGGGCATTTGTGGTGAATGTAGCATGAGGCTTGTGGAGAAAAGTGCAAATTAACTCTGCCGTTGTGCTCCATAGAGGCCACCTTTATTATGCTTTATCAACACAGCAGCTGGATTAGCCCTCCATTCAGTTTGCTTTCCCTCATTACGATAATTGCCTTCTGAACAATGCCATGTGTCAGCTTGATCCTCCTTACTAGGGGAACACGATGTGTGTGTACAAGTAAACCTGCTGGCAGGGGTGGGGCAGCTGGCTAGGCTAATGTTTGGGTCTTGAGATTGATATTAAGTTTTAAAAATCAAGTTAGATTTGCTCTGTTAGATATTCTTGGAAGGTTCACTAGACATCAGGCTCTATGCTGCATGCACCCATACTCATATGCTTACTCCCATTTTTCAGATGAGAAAATCTATGTCCCAAGGATTCTCTTCCCACTTCTCTGCCCCTCCCCCTCCCACACTTTTTTGCCCATGCTTACTGGCTCTGGGCAGTTTTTCTCCTCAGGTGCTTTGATAGACCCTACAAAATGGCCACAATGGTGGTCAGCTTCTACCAAGAGGTGATGGTACCTTCATAGGAGCCACAAGTTATGTTTTGCCAAAATTCAGGAAACCTCCTGAGAGTTTCACAACCATCCTATGAAGTGGACTAGGGGTAGGGAAGCCAAGTCACTTGAGCTCCTTGGAGTCCCCTTAAAATGGCCGCTCCCTGAGCCTCTCCATCGGCATCTCCAACTACTGTTTGCAAGGAGGTTTAGGAAGGATTGCTGAGCTCTCCACCTTCCTAACAAACAAGGGAGTGGCCTCAACTCAGACTTGCTAGAGGAGACCTTGATCCTTCATTAACTCAGAGCAGTGAGTGAGCACACACCTGTGTGCATGTCTGGATCCAGCTCTCTTGAAGCCCCAGCATGGTATGAAACCCTCATTAGTCCCATTGCAAGTGGTTATTATAGGAAGACTCTCTCTCTCTCTCTCTCTCTCTCTCTCTCTCTCTCTCTCTCTCTCTAGCACACTTGTGGAAAGTGGGAGAGAGGTAAAGTACAAGAAAAAGGGAAAGACAGTCTAGTCTGTTTCTTGAAAGAGTTTGCTTCATCTCAAACAACTTGGTGGCATAGGTCCTTAAGATGCACACATTCCGCATAGAGTTATATTCTTGTAGGAGTGTTGGAAGTAACCTGGCAGGAGATGAAAAACACAGGCTGTGGAGATAGGTAACTGTGGGCTCAGTTTCCAATTTTCACTTACCTTCTGTGTGATTTTGAACAAGTTCCTTAACTTCTGTGAGCCTCAGTTTCTCCATGTGTAAAATGGAGGATAATATTGCCACCCTCGTGGAGTTATTGTGATAAAGAAGATCATGCCACTAAAGCTGATCCACTGAAAACTATTTGACTCCAAAATACGTGCTCTTAGGCAGCAGGCAGGTACATATACTTGTGTGTGTGTGTGTGTGTGTGTAATAGATATTTAATTGTGCCTGTATTTCTATTATAGTAAGCTCAGCTGAGAAAGAAATCCATTTAAGGTGTTTATCAATTCTGAGGGTCCTAGGATAGAACTAGTAGGTTGAATGTAGGCATGATGGCCTTTAAGGAACTGCTAATAAATATTTAGAGCACAAGAAGGTAGCTTGGCTTAATTGGGGATTCCATCTACTGGGACTCTACTGGGGCTAGAAGGGTGGTTTCTTGCAGCATTGTGATTAAGTGGTTTTTACTAAACCTTAAGGCAGCGAGTGGTGAGCATATAGTATATGGACTGAGTATAAAATCCTGATTATGGAGAGATTATGTGCCCTGGTACCAGCCAGCTGTTTTCTAGTAGGTTTATTTATGGTTAGTCAAGTGAGAATGACAATCCAGAGAACCATCCTTTATGTCTCATGTGGGTGATATGTTGTTATCAGACACCATTTTGGCGACTTGTGTCCTACTGGGACACTGCAATAAAGCAATATAGCAACAAATAACAACAAATATCTCTTCTAAACCACCTCTCCCCTGTCAAATAAATAAATAAATAAACAAACAAACAAATAAATAGTGAGCTTTCATACTTATTTATGAGAAATCTGCCAGATGCTCATTAAAAAGAAACATTAAATAATTATCCAAGTAATGTGTATTTATTGTAGAAAAATGGGAAAATGTGGTTAAGTAAAAGAAATAAAGTAGTCACCTACAAGCCCCCTTTCTTTCTGCAAGATAACCTTTGTTAACATTTTAGTGTGTGTCACTTCAGGATCTTTTAAATGTAGGCACATACATTATACACAACACATGTATAGACACATGCATATGCTTATTTATAGAAATGGGATTGCTCTGCGCAGTTTTATAACCCAAATTCTTCACATACTATTTCATGAACATTTTCCAAGTTATGAAATCTTTGAGGTAACTGTGTCGTTTTATAAGGGGGAGCTTGCTCCAACATTAGACATTTACAGTGTCCTTACAAAGAAGTCTGGCCCCTGGGTCTACCTCTTGGGTATGTTGTGAATTCAGGGAGTTTGAATTTCTTGCCCCATATGCAAGAAATCAACTTTCATAGACCCTAAATAAGAACCAGAGAATTGTGGCTTCTCCATAAAAGTGAACTAGAATAACGAATGCTGCCTGACATCTCAGCCAGCAGGGACCCTTTGCTGTGCAAGTACATTTGCAATCCAAATAAGGCATCAAAACTTGAGAAGAGAATGGGTGACAGAGCCTGCGAGGCCAGGAAATGCTTTCTTGTCATTTCTTTGGCAAAGGAACTGATCTTCCCACCATCTTCTTTCCTCCATCGTCCCATAAACTTGCAGCATGTTTCCCTCTGCGGGCTTATGACTGCCAGCTCTCCAGCCTGTGGGTGCAGGACTTCCACTCGTTTTACCAGCAACATCTATATTCCTCTGTTATTAAAAGCTTTCATGCTGGCTCAAATCAGTAAGTCTTGGTGTCTCAAATCTGATAGGAGCTAATCCTTGAAGCTAGGGAGAAAAGGGTTTGTTTGTTTTTAATTGGGGAATTTGGGGAGAGGAACAGTGTTGGGGAATTGGAGAAGGGGAACAGCCAAGTTGTTGTCCTTCAATCTTAGTTGTGGGGGGTGCAGTAAGCTCAGCTCCAAGTCCAGTCGCTCTGCTCAGCTCAAGATGCCAAATTCAATCTTTAGCTGCGGGTGGGCATAGCCCACCATCTTGAACGGGCAACCTTGTTGTTAGGAGCACGTGCTCTCACCAGCTGAGCCAACCTGCCGCCTGTTGGCAGCTCAGCGGCAGCTCAGCTTGGGTGCAGTGTCACTGGCCCATGTGGGAATCGAACCGACGACCCTGTTGCTCAGAGCTCGCACTCTTGAGCAAGCTCTTAACCAACTAAGCCACTCAGCTGGCCCAAGAAAAGGGTTTTGATGTTTAAAAATGATATTAATGGAATTAACCGTAATGTATTAACCAGCAAAAGCTAAAGATTTCAAAAGTTGTTACTAACAAGTAAGAGCAGACTGTTTCTGAGATGTGGGGTGTTTGTCTGGTTCTTGGTAGGGTTCCTTCAACCTCCTATGTGGCTGGGCAGAGTCCACCGATGATGGGCATTCTTATTCTCTGGTGCCATCTCATTGTGTGCTCAGAACTCTTGGTGGCAAGTGATATTCATTAGAACCAGTGAGGCCTAAGAGGGAAAGAACATATTGGGGAGCGTCATGTAGTCAAGTCACAGGAAGGAGTGTGGTGCAGGTGGGCCCCAGGTGGCCTCAGGTGCCATGGACTACGTCCACCTGCCTAACTATTGGGTTGTCAGAAAAGTCATGATGCATTTTTACAATGAAAAACGTAGAAAAAATACATCATGACTTTTCCGACAACCCAATAATATCTCTACTGCTCTCTGAAGGCTGATTACATTCTCTCCACAAGAACATTTCTGTAGCTTCTGCCAAAAAGGGCCGTCGGGGGTCAGGGAGTGTGTGTGTGTCTGACTGGTCTGATTTGGCTCCCAGGCCCCTCGTGGGTGGGAGTGGGTACTAAGATGGCAGTCCCTCTATGGCCTCAGAGGTGGAATGCAAGGGAGGTTCATCTAAAGGCAGGGAGTATGTTTCTGAGAAGAAGTGGGCAGATAAAGACTAGATATACTCAACCCTTCCCATCCAGTTTTATTTTTCAGTTCTTTCAGATATAAGGCATCTTCTTACTGGTCTCTCCTCGGTCCCCCTCATCCTCTGACCACCTCTGCTCACTTGCTTTTGTTTACACTGGCTCCCAGATACAAACGCCTCCTACCCTCTCTATTTGTCCAAACCCTGCCCGTTGCCTGAGGGCTCCATCTCATCAGGAAATTCTCCCCATCTAGTCCAGCCTCTGTTGAAATCTCCTTTCCCCAAACTTGTAATGATACTCTGTCTGGTGTTCTCTTCCCTCTCAGGTTTCCTGAGTTGAGTCTCATCTCTACAGCTCTCCCTGGGCCCCTTCCAGGGACAGCTGATCGCCCGTTCTATCTCCCCCTCCTCATTTCCCATGGGCAACTTTAACCCATTTCACTCTGGCTCCTACCTCTTTCTCTTCACCAGAATCTTTTGCTAGACTCACCCATGGCATCCACACTACCCAATGGTCACCTCTTACTTTTTATCTTATCTGATATTCAGAAATATTTGACTTACTTTCTCATCTTTCAACGCTCTCCTCTCTTAGATGTCATGGCACCAGGCTCTCCTTGTTACTCCTCACTTTAGATATTCCCACTCAGTCTCTTTTAAAAAATAGTTTCCATGTCTTCTGCCTGACCAATGCTCCTGCCCTCTGTCTACATTGTCTCCCTGCATAATCTTAACCATTTCCATGGTTTTACACACCAAATACATGCCACTGACTCCCACATTATACTTTTACTCAGCTCTTCTGAACTCCAGACATATATAGCCTATTTCCCATTTGACATCTCTACTTATGTGTCTCATAGACATCTGAAAATTAACATGTCCAAAAATCAACGATTTTTTCCCCAGAAATTTGGTTCTTTTCCAGGCTTCCCTATCTGAGTAAATGGCACCTCCATATACCCTGTCAACTTTGACAGTTTCCTCTTCTGTACTACCCATAGTCATCACCAAATTATAGCTCTAAAATATATATCATGGTCATCTATCTGTCTATCATTTATCACTACTGTCACCCCCTCATTCTACACTACCATTCCCTCTTACCTAGTTGAAGCCCTTAACTCATCTGTTTCCTTCCAAGTCACCCTTCCCCAACCCTTTCCCACCTCCCTGCCAAGGATCTTTTCATGTTATTCCTCTGCTCCAACACTTCCATGGTGGGTTGTTGCACTTAGGAGAACATCCAAAATCTACAATCTAAACCTTGTCCTATTCAGGCCTTATTAGACACTTCCATCTCCAGCTTTATTTCCACACCAGCCTCCTGCTGCCACTCCCACTCACACTGACAATCTTTGTGCTCGTTAAGCCTCTGAGTTCCTTCGGTCTCAGGACCTTCCACAGACCCTCCCATAGTTCCTCTATCTGAAACTTCCTTTTCCTCACTATTTTCCTGTATCCTTCAAGTCACAGCTTAGGTCACTCCTAAGAGGGGCTTTCCCTGACATCCTCAAACTAAATTGAGAATATGTATGGTACACCATCACAGCACTACATAACATTTATTACAACTTTTATTACATATTACTTGTGTGGTTGTTTGTGTTCCACTAAATGGTCTGCTTCACGAGGTCAGAGGCTCTGTGTTGTTCATCGCTGTTTCCCCAGGAACAGGGTGTGTGCTCAACAAAAAAGTATTGAATGAAGGAATGGATAAATAAATGTAACTAGATTTTAATATCCCCAAAGGACAGAGTGGTTTTTCATTCTTTTAACCCTCAGGCAGACATTTAATAAATACATGTTGACCTCAATAGTGTATTGTGGGAAAAACAAGAATAACAACAACAACAAGGAAGAAAATTACAGTACTATAAATCCATGTGATAGAATGAAAGTTATGTGCTTCAATGTAATTAGTCTCTGCAAATAAGAGAAGGATTATACCCACGGGATCCCTGAATTTGTGAAATAGCAATGTGCTTAATAATGTAAGTTTATTATATTTTGAAATAACAGATGAATTGGACACACACACACATGTGGATATTTGGCACTTCTTGTAAATGTTTTGTAGACAAAAACATCTGGATTATTGGCCGAATCTTTCAACTAACTAATGTGTTTTGGAGCTGTATGAACGGTCACAGATTATTTTGAAATTATATTTCTTGGGAGGTGGCCACATAAATAGATGGGAAGGAGATTTTAGTTCCAGAAAGATGATGGGCTAAATAACTTGAAATCCCTCCTGCCATGAACACACAGAAATTCTGGATAAATAAACCCTTAGAAATTGCATAGCTGTGATCATGAGTATCTGAAATGAGGAGATTTTTAGGAGACTGAAAATCAGAGTAATATGTCCATGAACGTTGATCTGGGAGTTTATTTGTGGTCCTTGTAAATCGATGGACTTAGGTTTTCACACTCATTTGATAGCAGGAGACAAGACCTTGGAATCCTGGGAAGTATAAATCAGGACTTTATACTTGGGTTGAAGGGCTGAACTCTCAGTGGAAAGGGGACTCAGAGAAATCTATCTGTTGGCCCAGCAAGAAGACAAGGAAGTTGTCTTAGCTTGAGTTTAGGGAAACCATCCCCCTGGAGAAAACTAAGCCCTGGGCTTACCCTTGGGTTTCGGGCCCAAAACATGTCTCTAATTCATGCAGAAAACATGTAAATATCTGCATAGCTAAGGAAACTCCTAGCAGAGAAACAAACATAACAATGTGCCCCACAGTGGACACCCCTGGAATGCCTGCCATCCTGAATCACCCTGAAGTGACACTCCAACGACACAGGCCTCACTATATTTTCTCAGAAAATAAGCTCCATTAAAGATGAGCTCATGAGTTTAAAAAGTTAGAAAACATACAATGCAATAATTCATTGTGAGCAAGAGTCAGCAGACATAACAAACAGTAAGATTCAAGTCCCATGAATTTGAGATAATAGAAACAAAATCAGAGAGGGGAAAAGTATGCTTTAAAACATACTAGAAGGAATCAAACTCTGGAGGAAAGATCAAGACACTAAAAATAAAGAAAAGAAGGTTTGAAAAATAAATAAACCTCCTAGAAATAAGAAATATTCTCGAATAAAAAACTCAATGGCTAGATTACACAACACATTAGCATACTTGAGGAAGGAATTACTGAACTAAAGATTAGAGGATATTACATAAAATACAGCAGAGAGAAAGAGAAGATAGAAATTATGAAAGAGAATTTAAGATAATGTAAAAGTCTAGTACAAAGCTAATAAGAGTTCCAGAAGAAGATAATAGAGAGAAAGGGTTAGACGAAACATTTGAAGGGAAAAGGGATGATAATTCTGAACTGATTAAAGACATGGACCCTCAGGTGGAAAACTCCTAAGGAATCCCAAATTGGGTAAGTATAAAAAACATCCACACCTACATACTTCCTAGTGGAACTATTTAAATGCTAAATGAAAAGAGAAAAAAGCAGAGTGAAGAAGGATAAGAGATCTCATACAAGGTACAAATGATTGGAATGACAACAGATTTCTCATGACCAACAGTAGAGATCAGAAGATAATATAATATCTTCTTAGAGTTATAATATTACTCAAGAGGGAGGAAAAAATAAAGGCAATTTTAGTGAACAAATAACTTAGAGAACTTGCCACTCACCGACCTTTATTAAAAGAATTACCAAAAAATGTATCCAAGTAAGAAGGAAATTGAATTCTGATGGAAGGGAGTAGGGTACAAGAAGCAATGTTGAGACAATAAAATCAGATAACATGTGGGCAGGTCTAAACAAATACTCACTGTATAAAAGAACAACAGTAATAACGACTTATTAGAGGACTCTTAGAACAAGATGAATTGAAATCGTAGACCACAGTAATGAGTAAGAAAGGGTAAGCAGGTAAGAGGTAAGTGGTTTTAAGATTCTTGTTCCACTGAGAGTTAAAACTATCACTTAACTTTAGATCTTGTTAAATAATTATGACTGTTAAGATTTTAAGGGTAAATACCAACATAGTAAAATTAGTGTGTATAACTTTTAAACTACCATTGGAGAGGTAGGGGACCAATGAAAATTTGATTAATACAAGACATGGCAGGCACAGAGAAAAAGAAACAAAGAAAAACCATGGTAAATAGAAAGTATAAAATAGCATAAAGAAAATAAATCTAGGGCCGGCCGAGTGGCACGATGGTTAAGAACTGGCTTGGGACGCCAGAGGGCACCGGTTTGGATCCCACATATGAGGGCCAGTGACACTGCCCTCTACAGCTAAGATGCTGAACA